GGGGCTACACACCCCTTAATTCGAACTAGCTAGTTCGAACTAGGCTTAATCCTCGTAAAATGAGGTTTTCCTAGTTCGAACGAAGCGCTCTGCTAGTTCAAATTAAATTCGAACTAGTGGAGCGCTAGTGTAGCGCCTATTAAAGTTAGTTCGATCTAACGTCCATTAGTTCGAACTAACTTTGTAGTGTAGACATACCCTTAGGGACTTAGGATACAGGAGGGGCTCAGGGATGGGGGCAGGGGATTGGTGTGTGAAGTCTGGGCCAGACCCCACACCCCAATCCTGAGCCCCAGCCCTGACCCCACTCTAACACCTCAACCCAACCTCCTGTCCTGAGCCCCCTCCCACACTCCAAGCCCTTGGCCCCAGCCTGGAGCTCTCTTCTGTACCCCAAACACCTCATCCCCACCCCAGAACCCGCATTCCCCATGGGAGCACCACCCTCCTGCCTCAACCCACTGCCCTCTGAACCCATCATTTTTGCCCCACTCTGTTGCCTAGCCCCCCCATCTAATATTTCCAGACTCCCAGAAGATTTAATCCAGATCTGCTCACCCTCCCAAGCAATTTTACGATCATCACCTAGTATCCACTACTATTTGTACCCTGTAACTTCTCGCATTCACTGCACTACATGTGAAGTGTTCATGATATAACTATGGCATACAGTATGGGAAGTTAGATTTGTTCACACGCTATTTTTCTTTGCTGTGAATTTCAGTATTTCTGTCATTTTTCATAATAATTATATAGATTAACAGGAGTTGTCTGGATTGGGATTGAAAATCTCAAAGGGTTTTGATTATCCAAACTGGTTTAGTGCTCCTGCACTGGCTAGAAATGTCCCCCCTTTGGAAACATTCCCACTGCAGCCAGACAAGTGAATGCTTCCTTCAAGGGAAAGGAGTACATTTAAACTGTTAGTGGGGCTCCACAAGAATCCTAGGGGCAGAGTCGGGATCAGTACACCCCCTGGCTGCCCTTGTCCATATCTGCTCCCCAGCCACTGCCATCTATTTTGCGGCAACACATGTTCTCCATCAGGCTCAGAGCAGAGAGAAGTTTGTTTCCTTTCCGCTTCCAGAGGCTCACAACCTCTTTCCTCAATGGACTTTCCAGTGACAAGAGCTACTTGCAGGGTATATGATAGCTTCCCTGTGGTCCAGCTAGGCGACAGCCCTTGAAAAAGCCTAGTTGAAGAAGTCTAGTTGAAAGGTAGGGGAAAGCAGGGAACATGGAAGTGGAAAGCTTTGCCTCCTGCATCCCATTCCGCTTTAATAGCTTTTTAAGCCCACATTGAAGTCTGCTGAGTGCTCTCATAGGTTTCCTGTTCATTAGCAGCTCCTTTGTTCCTGCTCCTGTTTTCTGAGAATCAATTTGTAGAGATTTGCAGTCATGCGGCACATATGCAGGAAAACGTTTGTCATGTACTCACTCTATTTGCTTTCCCTAGAAACGGCTTTGTTTCTTGTGATTTCTCTGCCTTCAGTTGTACTCTCCTAGCTTTTCAAAAACAGGAAGGCTTGTTGTTATAGGCTGTGGGGGGTGGAATCCAGCCAGGTGCTTTCTCTCTGAGCACCTATCTGTATCTAGATCAGGGATGGGGAACCTATTCTATGTCAGAGGCCATTGACCTTCAGAAAAAAATCAATGGCAGACCATACCCGTTCAACTCACCTGCCTGGGGTGGGGGAGGACAGAGGTTCAAGGCTTCCCCATGCAGCTGAATGAGCTGGCACTTGCAGCTGCAGCCCTGTGGATGAGAAGCCCCAAGCCTCAGTACCCCTCCCCAAGCAGGTGAATTGAATGTGTGTGACCCATAGGCCAGATGAAAATGAGCAAGGGGGCGGATATAGCCCCAGGTTGGAGGTTCCCCAATTTAGATGTATTAGAGAGGTCTGAGATTGAATAGAAGTTAAATCTGAGAACCCAAACATTCTTATGTCCAAGCCATAAGAGGTCACACTTAAAATTGCTAGTTGCACATCCAGCTTCTGCAATAACAATAATAATCCTTTGTACGCAACCTTAGGCGCAGGAAGATGAAAGGGACATGTCCTTCTCAATGCAGTTGCAATACCAAATACCAAATACTGGCTCAAAAGGATGGACAGCTGGAAAACTCTCAATGCAGTTGCAATACCAAATATTGGCTCAAAAGGATGGACAGCTGGAAAACAAGGAGTCTGTTTTGTTGAAAATGTTTTGAAGTGTCAATATATCATTTCCCCCTATACGGGATAAAACTTAGACTTTTGGCATTTTTCATAAAAAACCATGATACGGTCCTGTCTGATTCAGATTTGGTTCCTAAACCTGTGTCTCCCACATCCCCCTGTGAATGCCTTAAACTCCAGACTATTCTGAGACTATTCAAGCTCCCTTTGTCTCTCTCATTTTGACCAGAAATTCTGCTGGGTAAATTATGATGGCAAAAAGTTGTGTCTAAATTTATTTGACCAGCTCCACTCAGAAAGAAGAATTGCACCTATCTTGGTCTTGTCTCCTGCGGCTATTTGCCCTGACTCTACCAGCTGAAACCAAAGCAAGTGCTCCTGGTGCTATGAACCAAAGCAAGAGCTTGGGCTATGAACTAGTGCAGCTACATTTGTGTCTGACCATTCAGTACTGGAGTCATGACAAATTCCTGATAGCAACCAGACCTCAGTTGCCAGTACCTCTTTGTGCGACACACTGGGCTTTCCTTTAAGTTGTTTAATTCTAGACCTTGTCTGGCTTGTGAGGACTGACATGCTTCCAACCCAGAATGGCATGGCTGCAAGACCATACTAGGGCCTGGAGGAGGAGGAATTTCAATAATTTAGGTCCATTGTGGAAAGATAAAAAGAGGTTTAACACAAGAGAAAATGTCAAATTAATGTGCAATATTCATCTTTGTTGTAATTCCACTAAAATCAGTGGAGCACAATTAGGTAAGAATTTGGCCCAGTAAATCAGTAGACTATAAAATGTTACTCACGGTCATATATTGTTTCATGCCATCAATGTACACTGGCCCACCTTTCTCTCGCAAATGGATCAATGCTGAAAGACGCTCATAAGCCACAAATTCATTGAAGAAAGTCTTGTAACCTAGAAGTCCACCGACAATAAAGCTGTCTTCCCAGTCTACCCCCATCATAAAAGAAAATGGCATGAAGACATAAGCGCAAATGATCTGCAAAATATACAAGACAGAGAGGAGGGCTGGGTGCACAAGCTCAAATATTTGCTACCACAAGAGAAAATGTCAATCAAAGAGTGAAGATTCTGCTAAATTGCCTAAAATAAATTTCAGTTTTTTAAAAAAGAAGTATATAAAAATAATTCTTGGCAGCTTGCTGCTATCTCTCTAGTAGTTTGGGGAATTTTAATGGTCAAGTCCACCTGAATTACCAGAGAAGTAGCAAGTTAAGACTCAGGTCCAACCAAAGTAATTAAGTACATAGTTCAGTTTTATGCCTCAAATTAAACATATGCTTAAAAGCTTTGTTGGATTGCAGCCTAAAATGGAGGCTGTGGTCCAGGGAATTGGAAAGAGAGATGGACGACTAAAATTCTCATCTGACATAATCTGGTGTAGCTACTCTGAAAAAATGAGTTTTAAAAATATGTTAACTAACACATTTTAATTACTACCTTGGGAACACAAATGGTTTGTCTCTATATAAAATATGTACAGCTTTAGCTATACTTGTATACTTAACTGTTACGATTGCTTCTTGTATCAATATAAAAGTGCTTATAGCAGTATAGCTTATTCCTGTATGGGAAGAGGAATAAACTATACGGCTACATCTAGACTGGCCCCTAATTCCGGAAAAGTCATGCAAAGCAGGTAAGTCAGAATAGGGAAATCCGTGGGGGATTTAAATATCCCCCGCGGGATTTAAATAAACATGTCCGCCGCTTTTTTTCTGGCTTGGGGAAAAGCCGGAAAAAAGCATCTAGACTGGCGCGATCCTCCGGAATAAAGCCCTTTTCCTACTTTCAAGTAGGAATAAGAGATCCTCCAGAAAAGGGCTTTATTCCGGAGGATCGTGCCAGTCTAGACGCTTTTTTCCGGCTTTTCCCCAAGCCGGAAAAAAAGCGGCGGACATGTTTATTTAAATCCGCGGGGGATATTTAAATCCCCCGCAGATTTCCCTATTCTGACTTACCTGCTTTGCATGACTTTTCTGGAATTAGGGGCCAGTCTAGACGTAGCCTACTAGTACAAGGCACCTATATACCACTACAACTGTGCACATTAGACTTGTAACTATAATGGTAAAAATACATCCCCCACCAGTGTTCCCTCTATTTTTTTCCTTCCCTGAGTGGAATGAATTTTCTTATGTGCACCAATGTGGAGGGGCTGTACAATACTTCACCTTCACATTGGTGCACAAAATAAAACCTGGGTGCTGAGGTGCAGGAGAGGGATGGGGATGAGGGGTTCTGGACTGGCATTGTAGGCTTTGGGGTGGAGCTGGGGAAGTGGACTTTGGGGTACAGGAAGGTGATCAGAGCTGGTGGGGACTCAAGGTAGCAGGGTTGGGGCCAAGGGTTTCTGAGGGTGGGAGAAAGCTCAGACCTAGTACAGAGGGTTGAGGTGCAGGAGTGTGAGGGCTCTGGCTGTGGGTGCAGCTTGGGGTGGGGCTGGGAAAAGGTGACTGGGGCCTGCAAAGGGGGTGAATGAGTGCAGGGAGGGCCATTCAGAGGAACAGGGAGGGGACATGAGGGAGCATCCCATTTAAGCAATCAAAATTTTGGCAAGGGCACAGGATGCTACAATGTGTTGCCTATGTGTGTGGGGATGAGGAGTTTGGGGTATAAGAAGGAGGCTCAAGGTTTGGGGAGGGGCTCAACAGAGCTGGAGGACTGGGGTTCAGGTTGGGGCACAGGCTCTGGGCTGGGCACTGAAGTGCAGGAGAGGGGTGGGGATGAGGGGTTCTGGACTGGCAGTGTAGGCTTTGGGGTAGAGCTGGGGATGTGGCCTTGGGGGTACAGGAAGGTGATCAGAGCTGGTGGAGGCTCAAGGTGGGACAGGGGTTTGGGTTTATCTGGGCAGCTCCCTGCTGAGGCCGGCAGGAAGGGATGCCTCCCCACCATCCTCAGCAGCAGTTTCAGGACTTGGGGAGCCCCTGGGCCCCTGTGTGGCTATATAGGAAGTTGTGAGTCCTCAGCTTAGGGCAGACCGAGGCTCCAACTCTTCTGGGAACACAGAGCCAGTCCCGTTACAGATGAAGAGCCAAACAAAATTGTGGTGGATACAGCGCAAAGAGCTGAGGGGAAAAAGTTGTTGGGCAAAAAAAAAAAACAAAAACAAAAACAAACCAGAGCAGGCATTGCCCTTTTTTAAGGTGGCCATTTTGAAGTCTGCACTCATGTCCCATGCAGACAGAAACATGCTGCCCCTTTCAGAACTGCATTTTTTTCTTTGAAGAGCCACATGCGGCTCATGAGCTGTGGGTTGTCCACCCCTGGTTTAAGGCAAACTTAGATAACTATATCTGTACAAAATATTAATGTAGACCAGGCCAGAGACAGTCAGATTTAAAAGCCTCGTAGCCTAGGAAAATGATACAGGTATGTCTTATAATTAAAAATCTGCAAACTCAGCTAACCCATTTTTAAATATAACTTTGTCTAAACTAGGAGCCTAAGCTAATTAAAACAGTTTTGGACACACCACATTTTTCCTGTGGAAGGGCTGGTCTACACTGAAAAGTTAGGTCACATCCTTATGGATTGTGAAAAATTTCACACCCTGTGTGATGTAGACACTGCTAGGATGAAAAAAAATATTTAATTGATCTAGCAGCCACCTCTCAAAGAGGAGGATTTACTACAGCACCAGAATACCCCCTCCATCACTGTAGTCAATGTCCACACTGCATTGCTACCAAGGGGCTGCTGTACCATTTCTTGTGTAACATAACCCTCCCTCAGAGGCTTTGCCAAATCTAAGAATAAAAGATTCAGTGCAGTGGTCTGAAGCAAAAGCTATTGTGGGTGTTTAATGAAGTGTTAATTTGTGGCTGGTGCATGCAAATAGCTCTTCTGATTTTTCTATTCATTGATGGTAGCTGTGATTAGATGAGATTAGAGCTAAAGCAAACTCACCATTCACAAAATGGCAGCGCCTTTGGGGTAAAGTCATAAACATTGATGCTCTAGAATATTTACATTGCAACAAGTATTTGTCACAGACTATCTTGTGATGCAGGGATTTAAAGGAGTTTTCCTTTTTAAAAGTAATGTAATGTATAAACATCTAATGTTTGATTAACATTGGCATTTTTCTTTAAGATAGACAAATCATGGGGAAAAAAAAAGTTCAGAGGACAATACCTCAAAGCTCAGCTGCGGATAGTTAAACATATTGCCCAGCCAAGATAGAGCTGAATCAACGAAAGACAGCAAAGCAATGAAGGCGATCAGGTTCACAGCAATGTTCGCCACCAATGGGATGGAGGCAGAGGCACCCTGACTGGCAGCTTCCAGCAAGTTTTTTGAGTCTCTTTATCAAGGAAAACAAGAAAAGAATTTGAACACTAAAGAGACATTTTCCAGTTCATGGATAAGTTGAGAAACAATAGTTGATGATAAACCAGCAATTTAAATCTCTGGGCACCCACTTCTTGGCCTGCAGACAGGGGATGAGGGTAGGGCAGACAGAGCAACCGGTCCAGGGTCTGGTGATTCCCTGGGATCTTTAAATTTCTCACTGGAACACAGCATAGCGTGCTCCAGACAACTCTAAGGGTGTGTCTAGACTACATGGCTCCGTCGATGGAGCCATGTAGATGAGCTTACTAGACATAGCAAAATGAAGTGGCGATTTAAATAATCACTGCTTCATTTACATCAAAATGGCCGCCGGGCTGTGCCGATCAGCTGATTGTCGGCACAGCGTTGTAGTCTAGACGGGGATCAGCCGACCCCAGCACTCTTTGTCGTCAGATCCTTTATTCCTCGTGAACAGGATCTGATGACAAAGGGTACTGGGGTCGGCTGATCCCCGTCTAGACTACAACGCTGTGCCGACAATCAGCTGATCGGCACAGCCCGGCGGCCATTTTGATGTAAATGAAGCAGTGATTATTTAAATCGCCACTTCATTTTGCTATGTCTAGTAAACTCATCTACATGGCTCCGACAATGGAGCCATGTAGTCTAGACACACCCTTAGTGACCAAGGCTCCAACTCTTCTGGGAACACGGAGCCAGTCTCTGCTCCCCACTTTGCCCAGGGGTCCAGTATGGCTGTCAACTCCCCTGCCCACTTGGTGCTCTCAGGTATTGGGGGTACAGAGGGGCCATGATGTGAATGAAGCCTCTTAAGAGAAATTCTGGCAGACTCAGAATTCTTCCCAGGGGATCCTAGGAAGTGACCTCAAGGATGCCCTCAAGCTTTTCCATCATTTAAAAGAATGGAACATGGTCCTCATTCTTTCTTTGATCCAAGGCTTACTGCAGTCATTTGTGGCAGTCTTTCTACCGACTTCAGTGGACTTTGGAGTCTTGCTCATGCCTGCAAGAATGAAGATGTAGGCACTATGTCATCACAGGGGTCAAAGTCAGGCCTTGTAGAGGAGAAGGTGAGGAGGAGAGGCTCTTTGCATTTTCTGCTTCTTTGCACTCCCACATAGAGATCTTCTTGATTGGAAATTAGATGCACCTAACACTCTGCTCTTTGTGTGTAAAGTAGTGCACGTGTTTTTTGAGTTCAGGCATTTAGAAAGTGCTTCTGAGCAAAACAAAGGCAACAACAAACAGGAAAACACCCCTAGAGCTATATTGGAACTTTGCAGTTCTTCTGTGTCTGTGAAAATGCCAGCTACTCCTCTATACAGCTAGGTCTGTTTGTTCTTTGTCTTTGTTCAGAAACTACTGGTACTTACTTTTGGCTTTCTTATTGTGTAAGTAGTGTAATGTGTGCAAAAGTATTGTACATCTCTCATCAATATAATATATGAGCGTCTATATGTAGTATTGCTGTTTCTAGGCACAGATCTACTTACCCTTTCTCCATTTTTATACCACTCTTCAGGGTAATTTGGGGAATTTTAGTCTCTGGCCAGAATAGTTTGGAGACAGCCAATGATGCTGGTGCTGACATCACAGAAGCAGATAGTAAATGGGAGGCTGAAACCTGAAATTCCAGATGCCAGAATATAAGCTTTGGTCAATTCATCTCAACAGAATATAGAAAAAGAAAAAATTCCAGAGAAAAGCAATGAAAATCATTAGACACCTAGAGGATTTTTCCTACAAGAAGAGATTAAAAGAGCCAGCATTGTTTATATGGGAGGAGAAGAAGTAGAGGTTTGATACAGGGATACAAAATAGTGAATTGTATGGAGAAAGCCATCTCCGGTGACAACACTATCCCCACCATAGTGGTACCAAGTCCCAAATACCCAGGTGCACTAGGGAGAGGAAGAGTAGCATTCCTGAAGGTGAACCCAGCTTTCTGGAGCAGGAACTCCCAGTGGCAGAAACTGTGGCAAAAGCAGCAATGGGGAGTGAGAATCAGACCCTATATCCTCAAAGCTCCTGGACATCAGTGATATCAGCAGACTGCATTCCTCAGCTGAAACTCTGAACATTCTTTTCTACTTGATTGTTTGGCCTGACCTCCTCCTGCCTATATATTTTCCATCATCTCCATACAGCCCTCCGTACATCTTTTCATCCTTCCCCTCACTCAGTGTCTTGCATCCCTTCCTTCCTTTTTCCATTCCATTTCCTAGTAAACAATTCTCCTCATTGCTGCTCCTGCCCTTACAGTATCTATTTTTAAAAGGTTGACAAACATTGTGTTAGTTCCACAGTCACCCTGATCACTCTGCGTGTTTGTTGTATCCTTTTCCCTCATCTGTCGGTTTACACTGTAAGCTCTTTGGAATGGGGAATGTGTCTTATTATGTGATTGCCTAGCACAGAGGGGCCCCAATCCTGAATGGGACCTTTAGGTGCTACCATCATGTAACTAAATAATAATAAATCCCTGAAATGTCTGATTGAGGTCACTGCCAGTTCAACCATGGTTGTATTC